TGGGGGCCAAATTTGGGGGGGATGTGCTTGGCCTTCCCTCTGGGCCGGAGTCAAATCCCCTGCCTGTCCTTCTTCCTTCCTGCCCCAGGCCCCGAGCTGAGGACGGAGAGCACGGAGGACAAATCCCCCCGGCAGAGCCTGGTGGGAGAGGCCGTTTTGAAGGGCTCCCCGGCGCAGGAAGGCAGCGGGGAGGAAAAGGCCCGGAGATGCCCCCGAAAGAGGGGCTGCAAAGCCAGCCCAGGGAGCTGTGAGGAGGAAAGAGCCGCCCTGTGCCGGGAAGGCGGCCGGAGCTTGAGCCGGAGCTCCGAGCTGGTGGTCCCTGAGCAGCCTCCCAGCAGGGAGAAGCCCTTCAGGTGCTTGGAATGTGGGAAGAGCTTCAGGGAGAGCTCCAAGCTCCTCAGGCACCAGCTCATCCACACTGGGGAACGGCCCTACACATGTAGGGAATGTGGGAAGAGCTTCAGGTACAGCTCCAGCCTCCGCACCCACACTGGGGAATGGCCCTGCAAGTGCAGGGAATGTGGGAAGAGCTTCACTGATAGATGCAGCCTGATCCAACACCAGTGCATCCACACTGGGGAACGGCCCTACAAGTGCTTGCAATGTGGTAAGAGGTTTCAGCGCAGCTCAACTCTCATCAGGCATGGGCAGGCACACACAGATGAGAGGCCCTTCCGCTGTACCGACTGCGGGAAGGGCTTCAACCGGAACTTCACCCTCATCAGGCACCGGCGCATCCACACCGGGGAGAGGCCCTACAAGTGTGGGGAGTGTGGGAAGAGCTTCAGCCAGAGAGGTAACTTGATCTCCCACCAACGGACACACCGGTAAGGAAAGCTCTAGGAGTGCCCTACCAGCGGGAAGAGCTTCGGCCGCTGCTCCCACCCCGAATGACCCCCCTGACGGTGAGGCAACCCCTGGAGTCCAGTGACTGTCAGTCCATCCCTTTCTACCAGAAAGGGCCAGTCCTCTTTGCCAGGGGCAGGTTGTGCCAACAGAACCCTTCTTGGGGGGTGTGTGGAGATTCCTGCCTTGGCTGGGACCCCCCAAGTTCACTGCTGGAGGTTGAGAGCAGAGATCTCGCCACGAGCGTTGGTCTGGGGGAGTTCCATCCCTCTCTAATTCATAATTCTTGCTTTGGTGCCAGCTTGAGTAGAATTGCTTCAACAATTGCTTTAGTGTAGAGCACTGTCCTGTGTTATGCTTTCCTACTGGTAGTTTTAGTGTTTCTATTGTGTAGTAAATAATTTTGATGAAGATCTTTTCTCTGATTCTTTGTAGCCTTAAATAATTCATTTCTATCAATAGATCTGATTTGCCATGATTAAAACCTCAGGAGCTCAGGGTGGGCCACCTCCCTTTCCCAGCTCCCCTGTGCCCAAAGATCCCCATGGGAATGTTGGATCTGCCAGACCACCCCCCATTTTCCACCCTTCTCCTTTTCCCTCCACTTTTTCATGGCCTTCAATCCCCAGCACTTCCAAAACAGATAAGGGGTTCCAACCCCCACATTTTTCCCCCCTCTCTCACCCCTTCCACATCATCCCCCCACCCCCCAATCCCCTCATGCTCAGTTTGGGGGTCCCACCCTGCCCTTTCCCCACTCTTTTCAACTTTCCCACCCATTTCCCATGAACCTCAGTCCCCCTCGCCCTCCACCTTTTGGGTGTCCCACTCCCCTCCCACTCAGTTTGGGGTCC